AGTGCATATAAAGAAAAAAAAAAAAGATGAGCATATGGCAGAGTGTTTAAGATGCTGCTCTGGACAATCTTATCCCTTATTGGAGTGCCTGGCTTTATGTCCCAGCCCCACTCTGATGCAGCTTTCTGCTAATGCAAGCCCCTAGATGGCAGCAGGTGATGGGTTAGGTTGTTGGAGCCCCAGACTGGGTAGAGGGCTCCTGGATTCAGCCTGGCCCAGCCACACAAATGCTGCAGGCATTTGGAGAGTGACATAGTTTATATTAAAAAAAAAAAAAAAAGTCTGTGGCCATCTCTGTGGTGTAGGGGGTAAAGCAGCCGGCTGTGCTGCAGACATCCCATACGGGTACCAGCTCTAGTCCTGGCTGCTCCACTTCTGATCCAGTGCTCTGCTATGGCCTGGGAAAGCAGTAGAAGATGGCTCAAGCCCTTGGGTCCTGAACCCATGTGGAGACCCGAAAGAACCTCCTGGCTTCTGATCAGCCCAACTCCTACCATTGAAGACATTTGGGGAGTGAACCAGTGGAAGGAACCCCCCCCCCCCGCCCCGTCTCTCTGTCTCTCTGACTCTCTGCCTCTCTCTGTCTCTCTCTTTCTCTGTGCCTCTCTGTAACTCTGCTTTTCAAGTAAATGAATAAGCCTCTAAAAAAATGAAGATTTTAAAAGTTTTAAAATGAAAACAAAGCAGTGAAAGAGATAATCACATGGACTTCAAACGTTCCACTTGGAATATAGATGTCTCCTGGGAAATACAGAAAATGACTTTGATGATGATGTGACTTTTCATCTAAGAATATCCACAGGTGATGAATGTGCTAATTAATTGGATCACTGGCACAATAATTTTTATGTTTAATTAACTAATGGCTCTCTACTGTCTACTGGGGTGGTAGATATATTTTCTGGCCTCCCTTTGCTGAATCAGGTTCAGTAGTTCTACTCCTATTTCCATCTACTAAAATACCTTTCAGAAAAGGTTAAGCAAAATTTCTGCTTGAAGATTCCCTCAATTTACATGGATTTTAAAATGTCTACAGAAAGGAATCAGGTACGGAAAAGACAACTTTTTTTAATAACTGGCATTTAGGGGTTTGAATATCCACATGCAAAACAATATGATTAGGGGCTGGCATTGTGGGGTAGCAGGTTAAGCTACTGATTGCTACACTCAAATCTCACGTCAGAGTGCTGATTCGAGTTCTGGATGCTCCAGTTTTATGCTAATGTGCCCACAAAGGCAGCAGATGATGGTCCAAGTGCTTGGGCCAGTGCCACTCATGTAGGAGACCCAGATGGTATTCCTGGCTCCTGGCTTTGGCTTGGCTCAGCCCTGGCTGGTTCAGCCATTTGGGGAATGAATGGTGGATTGTAGATCTCTGTGTATCACTCTGTCTTTCCTCCCTCTCTCTGACCCTCTACTTTTCAAACAAACAAATAAATTTTAAAAAAAGGTTTTAAAACAATAAAATGAATGAAGCTGGACTTTTATTTTCCACTAAAAAATTTAACTGCAGATAAATTAAGGACCTAAATATACATCACAAAACCATAAACAATTCTTGAGGAAAATATATGAAAAAAGTTTCACAGCTTTACATTTAGTAGTATTTTCTTTAAAAGTGTTTATTTAATTTTACTTACTTGACAGGCAGTACAACAAAGAGTGTGAGGAAGAGGGAGAGGGATTTGCCTGGATTTGACCCCTAACTCCAGTTTCCAAATCAAGCTTCTTGCTAATGCAAACCATGGGAGGCAGTGTTGATGGCCCTAGTACTTGAGTTCCTGCTATCCACATGGGAAACCTGGATTGACTTTCCAGCTCTCAGCTAGGGCTTGGGCTACTTTCACCTATTGGGGCATTTGGGAGTCAATCTCTCTCTCTATCTCTGTCTCTCTCTCTCTGTTTCTTGATCTCATCAATAAATAAGTTAAAAATTTAGTTACAATTACACATAGCCATTAAGGTAGTCAGCAGCAAATAAAGCCAAAGAAAATACCAAGTGTTGATCAATGTATAGAACTTTTACCCCTTGGGTATCATTCCTGAAAATGTAAAATGGGGTTGCCACTATAAAACATTATAAAAGTTCTTCAAAGATTTCTATCTTCCCTCATTGTCTAGCTATCTAAACCTGTGCTTTATGGTAGTGGGGGCCTTTAAAAATGAAACTGAACACTGAGAAATATCTTAAAAATAACTACCATATAATCAAGCAATCCAGAATTTGAAAGTCTAGAAGATGTGTTTGCAACAACTATGTTTATAACAGCATGATTCCTGATAGCCATGATGTAGACAAAACCTTAGGTTCATCAGAGGATGAGTGAATAAACAAAATGTGGTATACACATACAATAGAATAGTATGGCCTTAAAGGTGAAGAAACCTTATCACATGGTATAACATGAGAAAGCCTTGAGGACATTAAGCTAAGGCAATTATGTTAATTACAAAAGGACAAATATTGAGTGATTCTGCTTAGTTGATGTATACAAAGTGGTCTAATTCTACAGATTTAGGAAACAGAACAGTCGTTACCAGGACTTGGGTGTAAGTAGGGAATTAAGGGATTATTTTGTAATGGGTGTAAGATTTCAGTTTTGCAAGATTTAAATGCTCAGATCTGTTTAACAATAATGTAAACATATTTAACACAACAGTAAAGTGTAAAATTTTTAACACTATATTGGAAGGTGTCCGACGCGTAACAAATCTTCCAAGGCAGATGAATCAGTTGATACACAAGCTTTTTATTGGGATTCTGCTCCTGGGCGAGGTTCCCCAGTCTCAACAGAGTAGGGGCCGGGGAAGTCACGTGTCAGAGGTTGGGAGGGCTCCTTTTATAGATACAGGGTGTGGGGGTTAAAGGTTGAGGCAGTTCTGATCCTCATTGGTTGACCTTTAGGCACCTGTGGGGACCTTGACAAGGACTTTTCATTCCTGGAAGTGTAGTTAGGGACTCTCTATTCCCAGAAGTGCAGTCCTTCTCTCCTTGCAGATCCCAAAGCTACCATATACAATATGTATTTTACCCTCTCTCTCACATACACACCAAAATAAACTCAAGCATGTATGAGCCTCACAAACTTATTACACCAGCAACTTTATATTTCATCAAAATCAACATAAGATGTATATATTTATTCCAGTTTTAAAGATGAGGAACTATGGTACCAAGTGCTAAGTGTCTTTATTATAAATTATATAGCCATGATAGGATTTCAACATGCATGTCTGTATCTTTAATTTATACTCCATTACTAAGCTTTGGTTTTTAGATGTAATGTGAAAAAATCTTGGCATTTCTCTGCCTAAATCTACTGATTTGGTGCTACAACACTATTTATAAGAATATTTAAAATTCTTTGAATATTAATAATTTCCATTATTCTTGATGCCTTATATAATGTAATTCTCACAACAGTTTATAATATGTCTTACTACCTCCTATCAATAAATGGTAAAATGGGATCAGAAAAAAAAACCTATTTGCCTAAGTTTGTGTGTCAAATCTAGTGCTCTAAGAAGTGACTTCTCCCAAGACCTAAAACTGTATTCACTTAAGAGGCATTAAATCTCAGAAAGTTTTATGAAATTATAATTTTGCTTTGCCATTTTCTCCTTCAGTTTCACACTTTCTATTTCAACATGAAGAAAAGGACACCATGATTTGGTTAGTATAAACTGTCCACTCAAGAAAATAATACATAACTGGAGGACTAGCAGTACAAACAAATTTCCTTCCTTCATAAAGATTATATTCCAGAGGGAAGTTTGCATATAATAAAAATATTCACTATTGCTTTGAACAAAAATAATGTATAATAAAAGGTAAGAGTTTTAGGAGGATGCCATGTCTTTCAGATAGTTTAGTCAGAAAAGGCTTGTCTCTGAAGGTGACATCAAAGCCACCAAGAGACAGGCATGATTCTACGTTGTCTTTATGTGTAATCAGCTATTATTTTGAGGAAGGTAATGTGTGTGAGCAAACAAGATGCTGCACTCCACACAGAAATAGCTAAGATGCTATGTTTAATGCATAAATATTTATAACTGCTCTCCTTATAGAGTATTTCATTTGATATAGATCAACTTTTGGAAATACTACAAAATAATTATTACAAAGCAGACATGCTTTTCTTATAGAAAAATCACTTAATCTTAATGTACTATATTAGACCTGTAATCACTAAAACTTAATCTATGTAACTACTTCAAACTCTTTGGCAATTTAGAAGTAGGTCTGTTTGCTAAAGAGTTGCAAGTTGACAATGATAATTGGCATCTGTCAACCTGAAATCAGTATAAGACACATAAAGACAAATGCCAAATATAAAAATAATAAATGATGGCAGAATAGGATAGTAAAAAGTACTAAAGATATTTTAATAATCCTCGATAGAAAATTAGAGAACAGCTTAGTATATAACAAGAACTACAGCTGAGTTGACAATAATATATAGCTTTGTTAACTGTATACTATTTAGTAGACAGAAAGGCACACCATGTAATTTAGAATAAGTAACTAAATGTGTGTGTGTATTTTATATATTGTTTAAAATTAAACTTACATTTGATTTAAAAATAATAATTTCTGGCTACCTAGATACAGCACTTTGAGAAACAATACATCTCTTTGACTAGATGGAAATGCTGACATAATCACTTTTTTGAATAAACAGTTGGCCTGCAAATTCAAGATGTTTATTTAAAATATGACTGCTATAACTTCTCATATGCATCACTTGATGGATTTTCCTGATGCATCAAACTTTTCTGAATGATAATATCTTCTCAAATCTAATTTCCATTCTTATTTCTCAGAATTTTCCCATGTTTGCAATGAAGCTACATATATTTGGAAAATTGTAAGCTACATTAGTATTGGTGCTTTTTAAAAATTTATGTTTACTTTTAGCATTGTAATGACCAAAAAGACCTAGTCAGTTTAAAAATATAGTCATATAAAAAGAGATATATAAGTAAGCAAAATACATTACTCTGTAAGATCTTCTATCTTCTTTTCCACTAGAGTAGGGGGAACATTAGAAACGATGACTTGCATGTCCAATTGATTGACCACAGAGACCTGAAGGAAGAAGAAAGAGAATGCATTTAATTTTTACTTACTAATTTTCTATAACACATATTAACAAAATTCTTCCATACTATACAAAGAACTAGTGGTTTCTTATTGCTGAATTCAGGGACAATTTTTTGAAGTATGTAACCTCCACTAGTCATTGTGGACAAACTGGGACAATTTGACCTTGACAAATTACTTGTAGTTTACATGGAATTTATGAATGTAGAGTGATTTCAACTACTGTTTGGTTTGTGTGTGATTCTTTTCTTAGATATTTACTGATACATTAGAGGTAGAAAAATTTTGTTTGCTTATTAAAGAACATTTAGAATAATGGAAAATACATCTTTTTTTCATTCAAACCTTTATTGGGACTACTTTGATAATCTTATTTTTTACAGAATACAAATTTCATAAGTACAACTTTAGGAATATAGTTATTCTGCCCACCATACCCGCCCTCCCACCCCTTCTTCTCCTCCCTCTCCCTTTGCCAATTCCACTCTCTGTTAAGATTCATTTTCAATTAACTTTGTACACAAAAGACCAACTCTATACTAAGTAAAGATTTCAACAATTTGTACACACACACACACACACACAAACACACACACCTGACAACGAGTTTTACAGTTAACTCTCATAATACAAGTCAATTAGGACAGAGGTCCTGCATGAGGACTTAGTGCACAGTGACTCCTGCTGTTAATTTAATAATTAAACCCTTATATATATATGAGCTTCTTAGGATATGAAAGCCTTTTGAGTTCACAAACTGTTCGTATTTAGACAGGACCATAAGCAAAGTGGAAGTTCTCTCCTCCCTTCAGAGTCAAGGTCATCCTTCTTTGATGGCCACTTCTTTCCGTGGAGATCTCACTCACAGAGAGGAGGCTCAGCAGTGAAGACCTCGATTATGGATAGGGTACACAGTGGGTACTGGAGGATATAACAGGATGTTTAAGGAGAAGAGAGACCGGTAGGGGTAATCTGTCCTTATTTCTGGTTCTTTCAATTTAAGGTTGCCATGACTGCCTGTCCTGCCTTTCAAATCGTTCCCTCTCTCATCCCTCCACCTCCCGATAATCTTGTATTTCTCATCCCCTCTTTGTCCTGCAGACTGTAACTGAATCCCTGATGTTACTGCCCTCATTGATTTTGGGTTATTTTTAATATCCATATGTATATCCTGCTGGCATCTTCATAAATCTAAGCCTTCATTAAGCCCTACTCAATTGTGAATTTTCATGAACTTTCTGCCATGAACTTACTGGTACACATTAAAGAACAGTCATACAAATAATTTTTGGGCTATAAACCATAAAAAGTAACAACCTACAAAATTTCAATCCAAACAAAGAAAAGATGGGAAGGAATTAACTAGCAGAGCATAGACTGAGCAGGAACAGAGGACAATCAAATGTAAATCTTCCTACTTTAGGAAAGAAATGGGATTTATTTTGAAAAAAATCACTCCCAAGATTGCAGAATGTCATTCTATCCAAAAGAAGTTTAGATTTGTTATGGAATCACTACAACTGTGTAGTTTCATTTTCAATCGCTTGAAACAGGAGTTTCATTGTGTGTCTCATCTGTTCCTCATATTATATATTGGATGGGTGTGTTTGTCAGATCACCAAACCACCAAGTGTTCCATTCAGATCTAATGAAAAGGCCAGCTTGTTAAGGTACAATATTTGACATTGGTGATGACTTTAAATTTTGTGACACTTTGTTCTACATTGGGGAAAAGATCGAAATGGGTATTTGGTAATCATAAATATAGACTGGTTAGCCATTTACCTGACCCCTTCCATCTTTGTATTGATAGCTCAACAGCAATAGATTTCCAATGCTTCTTTGTACATTAGTGGAATCCTGTGTAGGAATTCTGATCATTGTACAGTTATGGAGAGAGAGGAATGCACTTTACTAAATTTCCCCCATGTGTGAACTTCCCCTTTCTTTGATAACCTCCACTCAAATAAGCAAGCCACTGAAAAGGGCATAGGCACAGAACTGAAGGAGTTTGACTCACTGAACCCCATTTGTTATAAAGAACACCGAAGAAACGTGAATATACTCTCAATACTGTGCATTGTGAGATAGTAAGATACATTTTAGAATGAGCAACTGAAATCTTGAAGTTTTTCCATTATAAAGTCAGTCTAGCATGGCAAATATCTAGGGTTCTATTACTATGTATCTTACCTAATTATGGGGCAATGAAAAGCTACATTGTATGTAGATCAAAGAAAATGTAATATTTTTGTTTCTATAAACATTTGATTTTCAACAGATAACTTACAAGTAAACGTCTAAAGTGCAATTTATATAGAAACAGCTACCATTTTCCTTTTAAGGACAGTGAGTGATTTCTTCACATTCACAAGGGTAAATTATTTATTCAAAGGGATTTTTAATTTTTAATGATATTTCTGGCTAAATTATAACTGAACTAACAGTAAAGAAATTAACAGTTAAGATCCTTTGCAATATAAACATGCTAAGCTTATAATTTACCAAAGACATCTTTTTTTTTTTTCATTTTTAAAAGAAAGCTTTTATTTAATGAATACAAATTTCATAGGTACAACTTTAGGAATATAGTGGTTCTTCACCCCATACCTACTCTCCACCCCTATTCCCATCCCATCTCCTACTCCCTCTCCCATCCCATTCTTCATTAAGATTTATTTTAATTAACTTTATATACAGAAGATCAACTCTATACTAAGTAAAGATTTCAACAATTTGCATCCACACACACAAAGTATAAAGTACTGTCTGGGAATAAGTTTTACAGTTAATTGTCATAGTAAAACTCATTAAGGACAGGGGTCCTACATGGGGAGTAAGTGCACAGTGGCTTCTATTGTTATTTTAACAATTAGCACTCTTATGTATGACATCAGTGATCACCCAAGGCTCTTGACATGAACTTCCAAGGCTATGGAAGCCTTTTTTTTTAAACTTTTATTTAATGAATATAATTTTCCAAAGTACAGCTTATGGATTACAATGGATTCCCCTCATAACGTCCCTCCCACCCGCAACCCTCCCCTTTCCCTTTGATCTTGATGAATTTTGAAAATACACTTTGGATCCTAGTATATAAAATATAATGTCTATTTCTTTTGATTAACATGTTAATTGTACATATTTATGGAGTACAGTGAGAAATTAAGAGATATTAGGATAAATTTGACTTCAAAAGTATTTATCTTGGATTTTCCTCTAAGAAGTTAATTTTTAAAATTGTAAACTCTGTTCGCAAAAGTGCTAACAAAGGATTTATGTAGAAAACACACATTTTTAATTATGGAAATGAAAAGAGTAAAGTATTACAGATTTAGGGGCTGACAGAGTGGTTTTTTTTGTGATGCAACAAATTAAGCTACCTTTTCCAACACTAGCATCCTGTGTCAGAATTCTGCTTGAGTCCAGGTTACACTGCTTCCATTCCAGCTTCCAGCCAATGTGCCTGGGAAGACAAAGTAAGCTGGACCAAACACTTGGGTCCCTGACACCCATGTGGGAGACCTGGCTGTAGTTCTTAGTGCCTTACTTCAGCCTGGACTAGCTGTTGGCAGCCACTGGCAAGTGAAACAGTGGATTGAAGATCTCTGTCTCTCTCTGTTTTCTTCAAGACTGTATAAACATACATCTTTAAGATATTGTAGTTTGCATTTTGATCATCTAAAGACATCCTGACATCCTACACCCTGACTCTAGTTTCTTCTAGCATCTATAAAAAAATGCATGTAAACATTTAAGGAGATTAGACTTTATTTATATTACTTTTCCAGCATACACTCTATGCTAATATTTTACCTATTCATATCAGTTTATTACAGTCAAAATTAAAGAGTTATCTTTTTATAATTCAGCTATTTTTGGTTGATTACTCAAGGACTTTTTTATGTATTTCTATCATTGTTGGGATCAATTTGTATAATGTAGTAAAATTATGAAGCATGGTAAGGAAAGAAAGCAGGATGTTCAAAAATACAAGTTTATAAAAGTAGCTATTGCCAATTTACACATTTACTTCTGAATTTTTAAAATCTTCTTCATAATTATTTTATATTCACTCTTCTGTCATTCATTCCCCCAAAAATTAGGTAGAGCCACCTAACAGAAATATAATGTGAGTCACAAAAATATGCCACATAGATAATTATTTTAAATTTCTGATATCCACATTAGAAAGATTAAAAGAATAAAATTGGGGCCGGTGCTGTGGCTCACTTGGTTAATCCTCCACCTGTGGCACCAGCATCCCATATGGGTGCTAGGTTCTAGTCCTGGTTGCTCCTCTTCCAGTCTAGCTCCCTGCTGTGACCTGGGAAGGCAGTGGAGGATGGCCTAAGTGCTTAGCCCCTGCACCTGCATGGGAGACCAGGAGGAAGCACCTGGCTCCTGGCTTCAGATTGGTGTAGTTCCTGCCGTAGCAGCCATTTGGGAGGTAAACCAACAGAAGGAAGACCTTTCTCTCTGTATCTCTCTCACTAACTCTGTCAAATAAATAAATAAATAAAAAGAATACAATCAGCTAAATTATGCCTTTAACTCAACATGTGGAATATAGTATCATTCCAACATGCCATCAGCTCAATAAGGAGACATTTTCAAATTATGTATTTGACTTTTGACATTCAATGCACTTTTACACTAACAACATTTTTTTTTTTTTTTTGTAATCTGGCTACATCTCAAGTATTCTCCAGGCCCAGCTGGGTGAGGGCATAGAGGACAACCCAGTTAAAAAGAAATTCATCACTTCCTGTCTCTACTGGGCACGAACTCTCCCATCTGATCTCTACTGCAAACCCACTTTTAATGAAATGAAAGAGATGTATATTTTAATGGACTTTTTGTATCATCATGTATTTTCTTTTTGATATTACACAAAAACCCCAGTGGTGCTTTCTTCAAAGCTAGTTTTTGATGTGAAATCTAAAAACATGTTTAGTTAAAACATTAACATCTGGGGTGGAAAC